TTTATTGAAATAATTCTTAATTATTTTGAAATATTGAATTAATTTAGTATAAATTAAGACTTTTATCACTCTTTTTGAACCAAAAATAATAAATTAGAAAAATACTAAATGATTTATAAAACATTTATAAAATTATATGTAAGAAAATTATAAATATACTTGTTTAAATAATTTAAACTTTGAATAATCACTCTTATTTGTATTAACATTTGTAAAATTAATTTGATTAAACATTAATAAATATTTATTAATGAATATTTATAATTCATTTACTAAGATAAAACATTTACAATTCTTGTGAAATTTACTCTTAAAAATTATTATTCATTTACTATTAATAATAATTAATGTAAATTATAGAAGTATATTTGATAGTTCAATTTAAATTGGCTCATAATTGCCATCTTTTTAAATAATAATGTAATTTAAGAAATAGGTCAGAAATTTGTTCGTTTTCAACTTTCTCTTATTCATCATGATAATGTATAAATAACCTTAATTACTCAAAAAAATAAAGATTCATTGATTAATCTTATATATCTTCATATTAATTATTATTTTAGGTACTCTTTTCAATGATAAATCAATTAATATTTCATAAAACTATTTTATCTATTGATGCAGACCACAATTTTTCTAAGTCTATTTTTTAAGCTCTTTTAACTCTCCATTTGACATGATCCCTTTTAAGCTAACTCCAAAAATATTTTAATTTCATTTTTCCACTAAATATTATTATTAGCTTAACTTTTACATAAGTCTCACAATTTTCAGTTTTCTTATTAATTTAAACTGAAAATTTTTCTTGATATAACTTTTTAATTTAATTCACAATTTACATTATCATATGTATTTTTGGTCATCTAATACCATTCTATAAATTATATGAAATATTTCAGACATTATTTGAATATTTATTATTTATAAAAAATTTTCTTTCTTTATATTTGAAATCTGAAATTAGATTTTTAATATTCAAATGAATTAAAAAAAATGTTAGTTTTATTTGAATTTTCATTTAAAAAACCCTATAATTTGAATGATTCAAAGAAACAAAAAAAGATCCATAAATCAAAAGTAGTGCACCAAAATTAGATTTTTCTAATTCATATTTAGTTGTCTTTTGTATTTTTGAGATGCAATTATTCAAATTTAATTGTTAAGAAATTTAAATAGAAGATTTCTTCAATTTTAATATCAACCCATTTTAAATTGTTTGAAATTAGTATTAGGATATATATTATTTACATAATAATTTATTTTAAATTGAATATTTGTTTGTATGTATTTATATTATTATCAACTGTTTATCTCAATCTCACTCATTACTTTGAATCTCTTCTTCCTTTATGGATATAAATATATAAATACTATATATCATATTAAATTAAACCTTATAACTGATTAGTGGTGGTTTTAGAAATAATAATGATGTTGAGAAACAAAATAGACATTTCTCTGTCTGGTAGCTTTATTGATGTAAAACTCAGTCTCTTTTAAAATCTATTTTTTTGGTGGCTTCTTTAATTAGGTATCCTATTTTTATCTCTTTAAATTGAAATGTAAAGACTTTCATTAAAACAACTCCTAATAGATATTTACTTGTATGCAAGCATATTAGAATTATGATAAGTAATTTACTTTCAGCACAAGCCCTGTATATAAAGATTTAAAAATTCCAACTACTCGATTGGCCTCTTCAATCTTAATACCCTAATATGAGTGATATTAATATTATTTGATTCTAATATATCGTATTATGACAAAGAAAAATATCACTGACGTTTTATGAGTGAATTTTACTTTGGATTTAATATGTAGAAAATATATTTTGTTTTCAAACCATAAATTTTACATTCCAAATAAATCGAATAACGTCATTGTTATTTTCAATTAATTTTTACATCACTTTTTTTTGAAATTAATATTTACAAACAGGAATGTTATTAATTAAATTAATTTAATTCTTTGAGTATAATTACTCTTGAAAAGAACAAAAGACAGATTTAATATTTTCTAAACGAAAATGAAGCAAATTACTATGAAGATTCACTCAAAAAATTGTAACATCAAGAAAAAAATTAGTATTAAGAAAAATTTTAACCTGATTAGAAAACTGACTGAAAATTGATATTCTTAAGAATATTTATCTGCATTGACAGGACTAACATAAAATTAAATATATTATTAAGAAAAGAAGATTCCAAATAATAAATTATATTAAACTTAATTGCATTATACTAAGACTCATATTGATTGGTTGAAATAGCATGTCGAAAAATTATCATTTATTGAGGAATTCAAAAATGTCTCATTAAGAACCTTCAAAAATATACTTAAAGAAAGTGGACTAAATTTCAGATAAATTATAGATAACGCAATTAAAGATATTTTCTTATCTATATATATTTGAAGGAGATGTATTACTAGCAGTTATTATCATATATTAAGGAATACTTTGAGATATCTACTTTCACACATTAATCTAAGAATCCAAAATCATAGTAAATCAAGGGAAAATAAATATAGGGTGTGATTCAAATGAAGAAGCGTTTAAATTTTATTGAAATGCATAAGGTAAATGGTTATGCTAACTTTAAATTATGTATTAATAAAGGCAATCTAAAATAATAATATCAACCAAAAATTTTTATAATTATGGATAATAGCTCAATTCATCATAGTAAATTTATTAAGAATGTATTTTTTGAGTAAATTAATGTGGATGGCACTTTATTCTCTAGAACATGATCCTGTTTTAGGTGTGTGGAAATTATTAAAATAGCATATGTATAAATGTTCATAAACAAATTTTAATGTAATGCATAAAATAATTCATAATTAAATGAAAGCTTTACGTAAGCATATATTTGATAATGTAATTTAACATAGTTAGAAAGAAATAGAATTAATATTATTAAGATGATAATCAAAAGAAAAATTGAAATTGACTATAAATTTTAATTCTAAACAAATTGTAATAACTATTTCGAGTGTACAAAAATTATATTAATATTACATATTTAGCTATTTCTTATTTTTTTAATTTAATAAATTTTATTTTTCTTAAGGTCCAGAAATCCAGCAATAATAAAGTACATAAGAAAGTGCAGGATTCTAAAAAATACCTTATTATTATTTTGGATCCTTTCTCTCTCTTTTTAAAGGCTTAAGCTTTTTCCATACTAATTTTCAGCTCTCTTTGTTACATTCCTATAAGCTTTGTAAATTCAAATATATCATGATTCTCTCTTCTAAGATAAGAGAATTAATTAGAAAGGATAGTTTGGAAAAGATATTAATAATAGAGTAAAGATATGGCTTATTCAAGAGTTTTAAAAAAAAAATATTCAGAGTCAAAATTATAGATTACACTTTAAAATTTTGAGATTAAATATTCAGTTGTTAAAGATAAATAAGATTTTAATTCAAAATATTTTTCAATTCGATTAATCATTCAATAAAATATCAATCAATTTCTATTTTATATATGGGAAACTAAATTTTCAGAAAATTTTTTTATGTTTTTATTTCACAAAACTTAGGTATCTTAGGATTGGATTAAAACTAAAAAAAATAGTAGTATAATAATAAAAAAATGTCACAATATCAATTAAAAAATTTGCTCGTATCACTTTTATATATTCAACATTTGAATTACAACATATTTCTTTTATTGTTTATCTCTTCTTATAAAATGTTTAAAAATTTAATTAAGGTTTTATGAAATTGTTATTTCATATATATTATATTTTGATTTAAGTTTAGATAATTTTTTGGATTTTTCACAAAATGATAATTAGCATTATTCTATAAATTATTGATAATTTCTGGATATTTTTAAACTTTTAAGATTGAAATAAAAAATATTTTAAACTTTGAATTCACTCATAAATCAAATTTTAATTAATTTTATATTTATGCTAACAAAAAAAGGTTAGAAACAAAAATAACCTTAAAATAAAAAATAACGTTACTATGACTTTGTAGTAAATAACACAGTTAGACAAACTTCAATCTGTTTTGCAATATCTATAAACCATGATAGTACAAAAATAGCAGTCGGATCATATGAATCAATAAAAATTTTCTAATTTAAATAAGAACAAATGAAATGGATCAGTACTTTGATAAGTTCTCGGCCTCATTTAAGAGTATTTAATTTCATGAAAAATTCATCCATTTTATTTTCTGGAGGTGATGATAATTAACTTACTATTTGGCCATTGAATGGTGTAAACAATGGGAAATTTTTAAAAAAGTTATATGGACATAATAATACAATTAATTGTTTAGTAACGAATAATGTGGAGGATGTTATAATTTCTGGTAGTGATGATAAGAGTATCAAATTTTGGAAGCAAAAAAACTATTGTGTACTTAATTAGACTATAATTGAACATCGTGATTAAGTTTACAGTTTAAGTTTAAATCAATCAGGAAATGTATTGATTTCATGTGGTTAAGATAGATAAATATTGGTGATAGAACTTTAATAAAAGGGAGATTAATATTAATGGATTTTGAGATAAAAAATAAAAGAATAATCATGCAGTTATCGTTTATGTTTCCTGAACGATACGCTTTTTGCTTTCTAATCATGGGCAGGAAAGTAAATGCATATCTATTAATTGAATGATGAAAATATGTTTATGAAAATTTCAAGTGTTACTGTCAAAGGTAAAAACGAGTATTGTAATAACTTTTTTCCTTAATAATATATCTAATCTAAAAATCTCATTGTTAGTAAGAATGGACCTTATGTGAACATAATTAAAATGGTCAATAATAGAAAATTTGTTTATTGTTCCTCTGTCGAATTCAGTCCTGAATGTTTTGGAAATATCTTTGGATAAGTTAGTTCAGATGGAGAATATTTGATTATTTGGGATTAGATTTCAAGTCAAATATAAATTAGAAAGTATATGAATTCTTGAGTTATTATTAAATACCCAATATATTCAAATGAATTTATTAATTGAATTTTTATTACTTCATACGATTGAAGTGAGTGAGTACATTATTAATAATGATAAGCAAATTGAAAACTTCTTAAAGAAGCATAGATTAAATAGAAAATTAACAATTTATTATTGAAGATATTCCTTCAATTTAAGATAACTTTTCAGAATTTATTTTATAGACATAGATTTCTGAGAAGCAATGATAAAAGAGAAAAGGATTTTCATTAATAAAATGCAATAATATAATATTTTGTTTTTCTCATCTAATATTCGTTTAATCCAAAAATAAAAAGATATAAAATTAATTTATTCAGGGATTTATTTATTAATGGATGGTGAAAAACAATGATGCCTTTATATATCAAATTTAATAAAAAATGGTTAAAAACTAATGTTAATTAGCAGATAACGAATCTGAATCAATGTTACTTTAATGAAGTAATATTTATTATCACAGTTAAATCATCGAAAATAGGTTGAACTGAATAATAATTTGGTATTTGAGAAGAAGATAAATAGGATGAATGATTTAATAAAAACGTTTGATCTAAATTAACTTAGAGAGAGCAATTTTGCTATTGATATTTAATTATTATTTGTTCTTATTACTATAGCACAATCACATTATAACAAAATTCTTTTAGCTTCTATATCATTCTCATTAAAATAACAATATCACAACTTTAAGAAATTTATTTTTATTTTAAGGTAAATGTATCTAATTTTATTAATATAGTGTGTAATTATTTTGAAATTATAAATACTGAACTCCAATTATTTTCATCCGAAATTTTTTAAATAATAATCTAAAATTTAACCATATTTAAGGATAAAAATATTTCTTAGCATTTAATATTTCTTCCCTAAATGAATAATTAAGTTAAATATAAATATTTTTTCACACCAAATGATAAAGTATTTAATTGATTTTGATTTTCTGAAGTCTTTCAATAATTTCAAGAATAAAATGTACATTAAACTTTAATAGATTAGTTGATTACAACTAATAAGTAATTTTATTATTTATTTTGTTTTTTAAAAAAAAATAGATCATATAAATTAGGTCTACAATACTAATTGAATAAAATCTTAAGAATTAAAATAGATTATGCACATACCCTTCTGAATTTTTATTTCTTAATTTTTCAAATTCCACAAGCTATTTAAAAACTTTTGAATCAGGTCAAATCATTTTACCTAATTAAAAAGTTGATTTTCTCTCGCATCTATGTTCTGTATAAATTTATATTAAATTGAGGATATTGAAAAATTTATTCACTTTTATGATTTAAAACTTCCAGCTATGCAATTTTAGGAATTCCAAGTTTTCCTTATTTTTTTTGATTTTCCATAGCAACTTTATGCTAAGCTCTGAGTTTGAATTATATGATAACAATTGTAGTTAAAAAAAAAATACTCTTATTATTTTTTTACTATCTTTTATCCTAATTGCCAAGATATAATAGCAATTTTAGATAGCATTCCTATCTAACTATTTAAAAATTTTTTCAATTTAGATATATTGCAAAACGTAGAACGATGATTTTAATTTATCATTATAAATAATTGATAAAAATGATTCCTCGTCATTCTATATTATTTATTATATTTAGTATAAAATTTAATTCATTTTAAAATAATAAATATCTAATTCAAATTTTAAAATCAGATCATATGAATCCTTATATTCCAAGTTTAGAAAAGTCATCATACTTACTCATAAATAAAATTTTATTTAACATTATCCATTAATAGATATTTTGTATTATATAAAATGTAATAATGCTTTTGTTAATTTATCTATATTCCCTGCTACATTAACTATATAACTAGAAAAATAAATGGCCTTAGAAGATTATGACTTAGGAAAAAAAAAGTAATTGGAAAATGATCAATAAATAAATGAACTAATAGTTGAGTCCACATATGTTGAATTAGTGACATATAAATAATAAAATTAAGAATAATTTAATATCATTATTTGTTGGGTTTAATCATAATTATTAGAATTAGTATAGTAAAATTTAATAGACTCAAAACAAGTATATTAGAATATCATCTATCGATTAATGGGATGCAAAATTTGTGCTCAATCCTATCAGTATCCATTCAACTAATTATGATATTTAGAAATCTATTCGATATTAGAGGCATCTCGGCTATTGGATACAGTATCGGTTTATTCAAATTTTAATTATA